AAAAATAAACTCACCCAAATTGGGTCAAACCACTGCATGCGAGAAGGGTGGAAGGAAAAATATATTGCCAAATGAGGTATAGAAGAAATATATTGATTGGGCAATTGAAGAGCCAATCAGAGAACAGTTTAAACATGCTTACAGGAAGGTGACCATTAGGTCCCAAAACACATACCACATTCATTTTTACTATATGAAAACAAACATATATGATCAAAACTGAAGATAAACTGTGTCAAATGTGAAACAAAATTTTACAAAAAACTATAAATATATTTAAATTAAATGTTAAAATGGAAGAATATTTTTAACAAGATTTAAAAACTCAACATCTGATATCTTTGTATTAACCTTTTCACCACCAGTTCCCTCTTTTCATCACAAATTCACAAAACAGTCCCGTTTTTAGTCTGCACTTTCCCTTATTCTGTTGGCTCCTAAATTAGGTTTCATTTCCAGAAATATTGACGAATATAAGAAAAAAATGCAGAAAAAGGAGAAAGTCTGCGGGTGAAAAGTTTAAGATTTTATACATGCTAAAACATCTCTACTTTCTGTACTGTTTGTGTTATGTGGCCCTTACACTGAATATTCATATTATTAGAATCACCATTTTTGGGTTGTGCATAACATAAAGTCAAAACAGCTGTACATGACTCTTATTTTCCATATAAGTCTTTTTTTGGCTGTTCATTTTATTTTGTCAATATTTTGGAGGAAACCAGAAAAACAGTCCTGTACAAACAATGTATCGAAAGATGCAACCCGATTCAAGGAATTTAATTAATTATTAATTTCAGTGCAACAATAGAGATGTCCCAACAAGTATAATATATCCAGGTTCCCAGGCCAAGAACATTCATGACTGAAAAATTAATATTTACAAAGTTCACGATCCTCTCGTTACATAATTATGTGTAACATACGAGAACAGAAACCAAAAAAAAAAAAATTAAACCAAGTACTACATCTATAATACAATTGAGCAACTATTTTTAAATTGTTAACAAGATACTGAAGACTTTGCCTTCAAGTATGAAGTTGTATTATAATAACATTTTAATATAAGATACAATTTCTCTAATGTGTTATGAGAGAGTAAACAATTTTAAATACAAGGAAATACAATAATACAAAGGACAGAAATCAATTACTTTTTTTTGTACAGAAGTCCAGTGTACGGCACAATATACAATCAAGCCCATCGCTCACCTGCAGAGTTATTTTTACAACATGCATTCTAATTGGTTAAAACTGAACACATGACTAACAGACAGCCAATCACAAACAATGTTATAAAAGCTCACCTGCTGTGATATACAAAACCCATCCTGATTGGGGGAACCAAACAGATGACAGAACAAGTAGCCAATCAGAAACAATTATACATGTAGTACAGTTAACAAAATGAAACTCTGGTGATGTCACTGACACATTCTGAAGATAAGAACACAATATTCAACTTTGGAGCCAAATTCAAAATATCTTGTGACCATATACACTCGACTGCTTTAATTTCTTTGAAAAATTTTCATGATTTTCAGACAAAATTGCCCTATTTTGTAAAAATGACAATTTATGTTTAAATTTATGCAATTGGAAGCATTTCTCACAGTGTGATTTCAACAGAGTTTCATCCTGATCTGCTGTCAAAGGGTGAGACGGAATAACAAAGATGCATAACAATTGACAGGAACTTAGGCGGTCCATTCAAATTATCGTACAAGTAGATCGCGAGGTTAACAAAATTTATCATAAATTTTAGACATTATTGCTGTTTGTGTCAATTAAAAATACAGTCATTGATGAACAGGTGAATTTACAGATGCACTTTGCAAGGAGAGCCCAGCTAAGCCACCAATTATTACAAGTTGATTTGCATATAATTTGAATGGAGCCCCCTAAGCTTCTGACTATTGTGAGTGATGGTGATAGATATAAACAAAGATAGTATGTACAATTAATAGATATTCTCAGCTGACAAGTGTGAAAAACTTTACAAATTTAACAACTTATGTATCGAAAAAAACACAAAAAAAAACACAATTTCAGGAGGCTTTATTCAAAATTCTATTCAGAATAAATGCAGCTAGGACACAATCTCCCAAATGTTGATTCAAGAAGAGAGAAGCCTAGTAAAGTTACCTCAATCAAATCAGAATGGTTAATTAATAAGGTTAATCAATTATTAACCTTGCCATGATTAATAAACAATTGTTATAAACCATCAAGGGCCTGAAGGCAGCAGGAAGAATCAAATCAGTATTATAATTTTATTTTAAATAAATAAAAAAAATGTTTATATAAATATTCATGCGAGTGTGATTGGAGAACATATGTCATGTGACAAATGTTATACAGGATTTCATAACCTAAGTGGATATTTCAGAGTAGTGATTGTTTTCAATAAAATCCTTTTTTTATTCAAAAAAAAAAATCATAAAAATGACAAAATTTACAAAATTTATGGCTTGAAATATTTCACCTGATTTTGCATGTGATTATTAAAAAATTAGCACATTAAAGTGTTTTTTTTTTCTTTTTCGAAAAATTACAAGAGCACCATAGACATTGCAAGCTGGAATGTAGAGTTCTGAGGTGGTATGTAGAGAGAACCTGAATGCAACCAATCTTTATAATGCTATTCATCATTGGCTTAAAATGCCAATATCTGACAAGATGAATCAAATCCAGCCAATCAGTAAAGGTTTTACATAGCCAGATAAGAGAAACTCATCCAACTAAACACTCAACTCTTCAGTATCGTTAATGTTTAGTTTGGATTAGTTTCTCATCACACTTCAAGGTTTTCTCCTATTTGGATATTATTTAGTACTGTTGAATGTTTTCTGTGCTGAATTATTAACTTGTAACTTATCCTGAAGACCCACTTCCCCCTCCCCCATGTTGATCACACATTCATTAGTTTAAAATGTACAAAACATGTACAATTTCCCCTCTATACAAATAAAGATACATCAGTGTTTTTGTAACACATGTCGTCTTGAACGTCGTCTTGAACGTTTTCATTATGCTGATGACGTGAGCTGTAAAATGTATCCACAAACCAACAGTTTGCACTGGAATGAAATGAATAAATAAATAAGTACATTCATTATTATTTAAAATATTGAAGATAAATTGATCTTGTGTTAATTGTAAATTATGACATCACTGACACAGTGCCCTCAGTGGCAAAAGCATGGGTGAAAATATGAGACATTCTGAGATTCAGAATGTACGGTAATGCTTGGTTGTGAAATGGCAAAAACAAATACATATTCAAACAGTAACTTATCATATCTTCCAATGTTACAGCTTACATGTACTCCCAATTACACACCAATGTCATGCTCGATATTGCAAAATTATAACACAAAATTATACCAGTAGATATTAATGTTACTTTGAAACATTTTAAGCTGCAACCCTATACACAGTAAAATACTTTATTTTAGCTGGAATTAATTTTGTATGGAATTTATTTTCACTGATTTTCGTTGAGTTTAATGTAAAATTTAGGAACAAGGTATATTTGCTGGATTTGATTTTCATTGAATCATTCCATAAATAGCAAAAATTAATTCCAAGCGAAAATAAAGTATTTCACAGTATAATGGTATTCACATATTTCCACACATTTTTTGCACTTGCAATCTTTCGTTTCGTGGGGGGAAAGAAAAGTAGTTGAAGGTTCAATGAAGAGATTTTGTTTCTGTTTTACACAAGTCATTTTAGACCAAATTTGATATTGTATGTAGTGAATAGACCATTTCCGTTCACTGCGAAAATCACGCGTTATGCATGAAATCGAACGTAAAAACAGGACAAACAATGATAGCGTCGTAGTGGCATCAACATCGCCTGGGATTTAACAAATGCGATGTATTTTGGGGGACATTTCCATGCTTAATAATGTACTTTTCGATTCATTTCGATTAAGTGAGGGTATTCAAAAGCAATATTCCTCTGTCGAAGATCGGCATAACGATGTGAGCTACGAAATAAAGAAATTCGAGTTGAAAATCAAATCGACAGACGTTCGACGCGCGTCTTTCATGCATCTCGCGAGATCTCGCAGTTGAACGGAAAATCACCTATTCAAAGTATTTTACAACTAGTCAAATGCAGTCAATTATAACATCATTCTTAAACAGCGCCCTCACAGGCAAACACTCACTCAATAGCAGAAGGTGGTACTCCAATAAACAATAATGATGACAACAACTTACCGGAGAATTCGGCAACGGAATAGTGTTGATGTGCAACAAATTTAATCCCGGTTTAGTACAAAGTGATATTACAAAATTAGACCCCTAGAAAACAAACAAATTATGTATACATTTAAGGTATTTAATGCAGGTGAGAGAATAACAGAAAAAGTTACTAATTAACCTTTTCACCAGCAGACATTCTCGTCCAAATTTTACTGCACTTTTTTCTTATATTCTTCAATATTTCTGGAAAGGAACCCTAATTTTGGAACCAACAGATAAAAATTTTTTAGCCAATTTTCAGTTTTTACTCAAACAATTTGGCTATTTTTGTCCCAATCATCTGAAGGAAAGTGCAGACTATAAACGGGACTATTTTGTGATTAACTGAACACACAACATCTATGGTGATTAAACATTACTGTAAAATACTTTATTTTAGCTGGAATTAATTTTCGCTGAAAAGACTTTTTTGGGTGTTTTGTATGGAATGTATTTTCACTGATTTTTGACAAGTTTAATGTAAAATATTAGAAAAAAAGGTATACTCGCTGGATTTTATTTTCAATGAATCATTCCTTCAGCGAAAATTCCAAGCGAAAATAAAGTATTTGACAGTAATAATTTTTTTTTATTATTCTCCTTACTACATGTATATACTGGAAATTAAAAAAAATCTCAATAAATATTTTTTTTTGGGTAAAACTAACACTGTACACATTGGCACTGCAATTCAAATCTGACTGTACATACACAGAGTGAAGGGATTACCTGGATGACTTGCTGTTGCTGGATATTATTTAGCTGTACTTCTTTAACACAGCATGGTCCAGTCAATTTACAGTTGATGCTCTGCCCACTGAAACCAGCGTGTATTAGAAATAGCAACGTGCCCACGCCTAAAAGGTCAAGAAAGGAAACATTGGTGGATTGAAAAAAAATATGAGATGAAACGTTGACTTGTTGTCAATACTTGGGTAGGTAAGGTATGCTTCAATAATGTGTGCATATAGTGTTTAAGACTGTACATCAGAAGACAATATTATCTTAGAACTGGAACCTGTCTGATATAATCATCACATAAGACATAGGTCAATCCATAAGTCCTCGTTTTTGAACACCGTATGAACAGGGACTAATAAGTTAATTAAAAATTTTCTTATAAACATAATCCTAATTAATATCTTGATCTCTCAACAAAGGTGAATCTGCAAAAATATTGCTGGTCATTTAAGACAGGTGGTCTTTATAAACAGGTTGCTCATATATGTTGTGTCATGGGAATGCCTAAAAGTGGTCACTATATAGAGGTCTGCAGAATCTTGGATCCATGGTTTGTCTGTATTACTGTGGAATACTTTATTTTCGCTGGAATTAATTTTCGCTGAAAAGGCTTTTTGGACATTTTGTATGGAATTTATTTTCACTGATTTTTGATGAGTTTAATTTGAAATATAGGGGAAAAAGTATATACGCTGGATTTTATTTTCACGGAATCATCCATTCAGCGAAAATAGCGAAAATAAATTCCAAGCGAAAATAAAGTATTCTACAGTATTTGTTACCACTTATTTGAAAAGCCCTCTAGCTGCAACGATAAATAAACACTGCCCTCTGGTGGTAACAATTCTACAAACACTGCCTTTTAGTGGCAAACACAACACATATGCCACTCTTATGGCAACAAACTCACCTTGCTGTTGCAGGATCTGAGGTGATTTGATTGTAAAAGTAACTGAATGATCTGTGGACTCGCAGACTGGAAATATACGATTCGGAAATAACGGTTTCAGTATCCTGGCACAGCCAGCCAGATATCGGAGTACAGCAGACTCTACTGCTTTATTGATTCTGTGAATATAAATGATACAGCACTGTTATGACTCTGTAAGATTAAGACTGAAAATTTATGTAGATCATTCACATAAGTATGTGAATATACTCTAAATTTTATCATCAAACATATGATCTGTGTAGCCTCAGTAGCAATATTTTGGATTCTGGAATTTGAAATTAATGTTATGTTTACATCTCATTCCATGCATCATTTCAACATACATGTATTCATATTAATGGTGCCAAATCCTTTCTTGATGAAAAGAATATTATCACACTATTTTCATCTTCAAAGAGTATGAACTGGATCTTTGACTTAAACATTGTGTTATTTTATCACTTGCACTATGAAGTATTCTCCTATTTGTACGTATAAAAAAAATTGCATCTTGTTGTAAAGTAATTAAAAACTGGGTATAATACTTTTCATTTAAGCACTTAACAGTGACAACAATGTAAGTCGCCCTCTGTGTCAAGATCATGGGTAGGAACTTTCCCCACTTGATCCTTGACACAATTCTGTATTTACAATAGGCATGGGAATAAAGTAAAGTAATCCTCCAACGAAACATTTTAATAATAATTTATTATTTCAATGCTCCACTCCATACTCAGTAGAATCAAGTTGCAGTGTGGCAAACAGTACAGCTCTCTCACTGCAACATGCCCCTCACTTCCAATATAGTATATTTTATAATCATCCAAATTGTGGTTAAAAAGCAAAGTTAGCCGAAAAAAATTTCACAAAATGTAAATATTGACGCAGTCCCACATGTCAAGACACAGCCGCTCGTGTGTCAGTGTGTAGTGCCTGCCATAATGTTACAGTAAATGCACACCTTTGATTAGATGGTTTGACCTAACCAGTTCTATTCAACAATTTTTAGAGGTGCATAGCAAATGAAAACTTCACCTTGTTGTGTGTGCATTAAGTAAATCCTGTATCACCGGTTGGCTATACATTTTAGCAAAATGTAAAGACGTGTTTCCATGAGTTGAGGACAACGTTGGATCAGCTCCGTTCTCTAATAATAACCTTAGAATCATCCTATGTCCTTTCTTACAAGCCTGAAAACAAAGCATGATGGGAAAAAAAAAAACAGTGACAACTTCCATATTTAAGCAGCTTGTACCAATGAATGACTCAGATCTTTCAGACATAGCTATGTTACAGCTGCAGAAGCTTTATCTATCTTTAAACTTGCTCTAAACATTTGAAACAGATTCTTCAATTGTAGTTAAATTATTTCAAATTTGTATTTGCGTGCTCCCTTCACAACTATATATACTGTTACTTGTTATTTTATATTTGTTTTATTTATATTATATTTTTTTAGTATTCTACCTTTCAAGTCAGGTCCCTCCTGGGAATTAGCTAAGACTAAGCAGGCCAACAAGGATGATAAATACAACATAGCCTTGTCAGCTGTTGGTCCTTTAGTGAGTGCCCACCTATAGGTTTGTCTATAAAAAGATACAGGGTTGGCATACAAAATCTAGGCACCATTTATTTTATTTAACCTTACTTATTTTAAACTTTTCCTATCTAACTAACTCATTCACTCTGATATGTAACAGCAAGATATTTAGCATACATACCTTCATTAAGGCTGTTTCTCCAGCTGACTGCTGTTGGTTGGCATGCGCTCCAGCTTCTAATAGTATAGCTACAGTGCTTGTATAACCCTGCAAGTATAACCACGCACAAGAAAAGTCTTAACTATCTACAAATCTTTTTGTATTTTTTCAACAGTATAATGCACTATTAATATGAGGCTATCAGAAAAATACCACAAAAAGTGCACAAAGGCAGTACAGTGATCCTATCGATTGTAACATAGCAGGGATTGATACAACCCGGTACTGCCTGAGTGCTTACGTTGCGGTATCCTCATGATAACCTCATAACATTTTCTGGCTTGTAGTAATAATTTAATGAGAAAATATAGCCTGTAATGGCAACAAAATGCATCATGCACTATTTCGACATTCAAGCTCAGTGACGGGATTCTATTTCCGTCGCCTGTTCTAGCGCATCTGCATCCAATGTAAACAAAAAGAAGTGTTTGAACGTGACATCAATATACTTGAATGCGTCAGTGTTGATGACATAGTTTACCCCATATAAGGGAAAACGTTAGAACAAGTGCTGATACAGCTTTTTATAGTACGACACATTTCTATTACTCTGGTGCTAGACGTATATTGCGTGTACGTCTCATTAGCATGGACACTTCTGGGAGATTCAAGATTTGTTGCCATACCAACTGATTTTATCATTTTTCATGGTGATCACAATAATCAGTGGGAGGTTTCATATAATACAAAGTGGTAATGCACTTTCAACCCTCTGAGCATAGTACCCCCCCCAAGTTGGTGTATCAGTTTTATGTAATTATATTTTTCTTCAATTTTTTTTTGTTAATTGTGGACAAAATGGACATAGTTTCCTATTGGCTATAGGTCTTGATCAAAATGTTCGAACAAATGTGGAAACAAATTTGTCGGTTTGATTTGTGGAAGTGACAAAAGTTGGCTTTGGAATTTAAAGGGTTAAAAAAGTATGGATAAAAACAAGCACATATTAATTAATTATTGAGTAACAAGGAAAAGATGCATACAGTCAAAATTGTTTTTGTAACATTCAAACCTAAGTTTTTTTAGCTCCGCCGTCGACCGGAGCTTATAGTATTACTGATTGTCCGTCGCGTTCGCCGTCGTCAACTTTACATTTTCGACTTCTACTTAAAAACCACAAACTATATAGCTGGTTCACTCTCAGATTATTTATAGCGAATATTTTTGTCATTTTTGGTCAAAAAAGCTATTTTCGACTTCTTCTTGTGCATTGATAACAGCTATCTCAGCCAACAGGCTGCTAGTTGAAAAAGGAACATCATGTGTTTTGTTGGGAGTAAATAATTCTATTGAAATGTGTAAATATAGAGTTCTAAATAACGTTTTTTTTTTCTCAATTCAACCAGTACCCTGGGTAATATACTTACGCTTTCAGCCGCCATCATCAGCGCGGTAGTACCATTCATCTGTTTGGCATTGACAGGTGCACCACTTGTGACAAGCAGCTTGAGAATTTCATCATGCTGTCCGCTACACGCTAACATAACAAGAGTCATGCCTGATGACTCCGTTTCATGTAGGTTATATTGCCTCTTAGTTCTCAGTGCATGGTTCACCAAACGATAGTTCCCATCTTTCACAGCTTGTTTGAACATTTCTGCAGAAAGAAAACAGAAATATCAGTATCACCACCCAAATTTGAACTTCTATTCATTTTATTAAATGTATTTTTATTGTATTTATTTATGTTTTATTGAAGTCTTTGGGAAAGTCTTTTGAACAATTATGGGAAGAAAAAAAAAATTACATTTTTCTACCTCTGTTACAAAGCACATGACTGGGCCAAGCTTTTGTAGGTATTTTTCCCAATTTTTTATAAGTGTTCCTCGTCTGGTGACAATGACCAGTTCAATATGCCTGCACTTATAGCTATCCAACAGTAAGGTATTCTTTATGCTGCATTGTTCTGTACACTCATAATTTGTCGTTTGTTTTCCAACAATTTTAAACCTGAATATACCCTGTTCTCAAACAGATCCAAAGATGTTTTATCACTTTGTATGAAGGAAAAAATATAATCCACCCTTAAAGGTAACCTGGGAGGTGAAAATACAAAATTAAAAAGACTACTGTAAAATACTTTATATTAGCTGGAATTAACTTTCGCTGAAAAGACATTTTGGGTGTTTTGTATGGAACTTATTTTCACTGATTTTTGACTACCTACGTAAAATCTGTATTAGAAGCAGCATACCTAATAGAAGTCGCACCCATTCTTTTTGAATAATTTGGAACACAAAATTCATCATTACTCGTATGTGTAGATGCTCTAATAGAAGCCGCATCCCTTCTGTTGCATTGTAACATTGCAATAGAAGTCGCGGCTTCTAATACAGGTATATTTGCTGGATTTTATTTTCACTGAGTCATTCCTTCAGTATTTTACAGTATTTTGAAGGGTACCTACAGTTAAATAATAAAGTGAGAGAGTCATCACCTGCACATACGCCAGATATGTCGGTGTTTACAAATAAGCATCTACCAATGTGCATTTAAGTATTTAAGTGTGAATTGTTATTGTTGATTAAGACTTAATTCCTCGGTGTGCGATAGTGGCCACCCTTTTGCTTCAGACTGTTGAGACAAACTACAGCAAATCCATCCTTTCTATTACGAACTCCACATATGTACACTTCAGTAATGAAGTTATAAGGGATCTCAAAACTTGTCTATTCCCATGCAATGTGCTTAGCAGCAAGACCGTATTACAAATTGTGTTATATTATAAGGTTGTTACGAGAATACCGAAGCGCAGCGAAGGTCAATGCGACGCGTACTGTCTGAGTGCATACTTTGAGGTATTCTTGTTATAACCTTATTATCAGACATCTTTTCCTTCCAAGGATACACCATGGGAATGCTAAAATCCAAAATGTTTAGAACAGAATCAGCGAACTTCTCTGTGTGGAGTCCGGTCTAGCCCTGGTGGCAGTTTGTTTTTATTATTAGAGGACGCTTACACGCGTAATCATTCCATATTTGGAATTCGCATTTCCTTATATAGTAGGATAAAAATACCCCGTAAAATACCACAAAATTACTCACGCTGTAACTTATGGCGTTACAGTGACAGATGTATAATAATGTATGATAATAAGGGATATACCGTGTTTGTCTTCAGTTAAGCGCCACCTTCAATTAGGTGCCAGTGCCATGAATGATCATCAATTGGACGCCGGCGGATTGACTACCGGTTAGTAGCAATAGACTCGATCGCGGAAGTCCCTCACTGTTACTGTACGATGGGCTTTTATGCAAAAAATTTGGTTTTGTTTTTAACAAATTTTAAAAAATCGGTCTATAATCTCTTGAAACATGTCTCTTTGGTCTACTGTAAATGTAGAAAATATTCGCATGGTTTTTAATTTAGCACATTTCATAGTACGGTAAGTCCATAAACACGAAATTAAAACTATGTGAAAATGTTCTGTTTCAAATGAGCTGTTATCACAGTAAACAATGTTAAAATATGCTTTAAATGCTCAGTTTACTTTCCAAAAATCCCTAATTTCTTGATTTGAAAAAAGAATTATGCCGTGTCCCACCAAAATCAAAGCCTAAAGATCGCAAACGTCGGCAAATCTCTTCCGTGTTGCGTTCATACATTATTTAAATGAGCTATAGTAATTTGATAATGTTGGCATCATCCAGCATTTTCATTGGTTAATTAATGACTTGACCTGTCAAAGAATACGTTCCAGGTCAACTACACAGGAAGCATGGCGGATAATGCTTCAAATGTTTACATGCGGCCGAAATCATTCGCTTACGATGAAATTAAGTTGAATTTTACTTGCATTTTATTTTTTGTATGTTATTATAATTACTACTACTGAGTAATAATCGTAACTGTGGAATGCAGCATGACCGGATTTTGCTATTGTGATCATTTACTTCCAAGCGATGCATTTGTGTTTGTTTTATTTTTCTGTTGATCGTACAGCAAACTGTGAATGTTTTCTAAGGGATAATGATTTTTGTATAACTTTCTAGACTGTATGAAAACAGGTCATTTACTTGGTATTTTAAATAAATGCTACAGTGACTAAGCGTCTGACTATCATGTAAAATATTGCCAAGAATGGAGCAAGACAAATGGCTTGATGAAACACAGTTACCGGTACTAGAACTTGAAGTGCTTGAAATAAGCGCCATTTGAAACACAGTTTCCCAAATTTAACCACAAATAAGCGCCACCATGAAATGAAAGTGCAATAAAGTGGCGCCTAATTGAAGACAAATACGGTAGTTCATTTTTAGTCAGGCAAGTACATGGTATGTAGTTTTTCTTTTTGTTGGGATTTTCAACACGTCTTCCTCTTAATTATGATAAATGTATATAATAAATATACATGAATGAAAACAAGAAGCTTTGTAGAATTTATCACATGGCAATAGTTGAGTCTGACGAGTACAATATTTATTTTATTAGATGCATACATACTACTGTTAGGTAAACGTGGCTTTTAGGACAGGGTTATCAACAGGCAATTTGACTGCAGAGACTCAGGCAGTAATCTGCATGTCCAAAACCTCACCTTGTGTAATTTCACTGGGAAAATCAAACTCCTCTTCCACATTCTCATTTGGATCATATTCATCGAGGTCAAACTCTAAAAGTGAATCTGTAAATTTCACAAAAAAAATGATGGGTTATTTGATATAAAGGATGGCTAGTTTACATTACTCTATGAAATCTTAATGTGGTTTGATGAGTGTGTATTATTAATGGGCATTTGTTTTTTTTATTATTCTGACCTAAATGAGATGGCTTTAAGCGCTACTTTGGCGGCCATTTTAAATTAGTCAACAGACATATGTCAGACATTACAGCAGGTTGTCACACGCAACATAATATTACCGTAATTGGTATAGTACAGGTGTGATGGTTCAAATACCAAAATGGCAACAGTAACAGAAAGACTTCCCTGGCGGCGATGATGATAAAATACGAACACGGAGCCAACAGATGGGGTTTCAACTGGTACTGGTATTATTATACTGTAATACATCAAGTAAAATAACGCGGTGAAACTCCACTACTCCAATGACTAGATACTTAAACTCCAATACAATTCAACGAGATCTCCGATCTGATCTCAGTGCTGAACAACTCCCCTATATATACCCACACTGTCTATAAATAGACCATTACATCAGCATACATAATGAGTCTGGAATTTACTATAAATTTCTAGAATGTTCCATTACCTTCTATTGCCTCCTACAGTGTTCTATTACCTATTCAACCAGTTTCTAAAAAAAAATCTAGAATACTCCACCCAGACACAGCACGGTTCTAGAACATTCTCAGTGACACAGAAGTGGTAAATAAGTCGTATGAGACACAGGTCTACTTGATTATGTTAAATAAAAGAAAAGCTACTGTGTACGTGTCTTTCAAATGACCACAAACTGTTTATGCCTTTATTTTTTTATGTAAAAACTTTAGTGCCAGGTGACTGTTGTCTCTAATGAAATTTTTCAAAGTTCTAATTGCAAGTGCTAACATATAGTGTAATTCTTCACAGAAAACATATTTAGGTTTGTGAATACATGTCAGTTATGTACAGCCATTTCTCCATCAAATGGCAATTTAATGTGCTATCCTATTCTGGCATCAACCAGGCTTGGTTGAACACAAGCCCTACAGGCTTTAACCAAGGTGGATAATTTTTTGGTGTTAAACCTCAGATAGGATATGAACTCAGGTCAACCGATCATTAGTCCATTGTAACAACCACTATGCTATCAGTGACTGGTTTATGCTTTTATTTTCTCAATTTTTTGCATGATATTTTCATACAGGACATCTGTCGTTCATACTCAGGGAAGATTTTATATCGATGAATAAGGTGACCAAGTTAGATAAAGTTTGGAATAGAATTAGTAAAGTTATTGTTCACACAATAACAATTATTAATGACGACGACAACAACAACGACGACGACAACAACAACAATGACAATGCCGGACAGAAATTTTTCTCTTAATATACCTTTCCCTTCTATCTTTGATGGTACAGGCAAGGTAATGATGTTAGATTGTGTAACACACAGACACAAACAAAATCTAAATAAACATACCGACATCACTTTCTGAAGCATACGATGAACACTTTGTCTTCTTGTTCCTATTCTTATCTTCTTTATCATGTCCATCTTTTCGGTTCTCCTCATAATCATTTCGTTTTTCATCAACAACCGTTTTAATTTTATCATCATTTGCATCTTTCCTCCACTCTTCCACATCTTTATTCCTCTCCTCAGCAACATTTATCACTACGTCACTGTCACTTTCTAATTCTTTTAATACATTTTGATGCCTCTTATTCTTTTCTGATTTTTCTTTCCCATCAGGAATGTCTTTTAAAATTGTTTTCAATTTAATTGAATTGTCCTCGGATGTTGACCTCCCTATTTTCTTGTTCTCCCTTCCTATGGATAAAAATAGTTTTTCACTACTACTAATGTCAGGTGGTAGTACTGTGTTTGTGTTTTCAAGGGTGATTTGTTTGTCCTTATTTTCAATATTTTTTCCAACATTGATTCCAAAAAAAGTAGCACTTTTGTCGGTCATCGTCGTAGCATTATCACCGTGCAATTCCTTGTTATCGTGCATGGTTGTCTGCTGTGTTTCTATAACCTGCCTTTTACCGAGTACATCACCAAACAATTTCCAATTTGAAGAACAGTCAGTGGTGCTCTCCTGCGGTTCTTCTTTTATTCGTAGCGTACATTCTGTCATTCCAGGTGGACGAGAGTTACTACCGGTACCACACTCCTGTAGTCGTGGAAATAGAGAGATGTCCATAAACATACTCAATATATTGGTGCACAAACTAAACAGACATGTTTCAGTTCTGTCGTTATATTAGCAATTTACACGTTCGTGTCGAAACTTAGCAATTTTGTCTGCATGGGGAGTGAGGTGATTTTGCCTAGTGAATGTTTAATTGCTCACCAGAACTCCAGGAACGAAGTGCAAACAATTTCGCAAGCTATAAATCAACCCACCCATTTTTCACAGAAGCCGACTGATGACACTAGAAGTCAAATCTTTACCATATATAAATGTATATTGAATAGTAATGTTACTATTATACATACACTATGAATTTCAAAATACCAACAAAAAATAATTATGTTTTAATTACCCTACACACTCATACATTATGCAAATTTTCCATTTTAATTTCATTTTTATGCAAATTAGTCATATTTTCAAGGCTCTTACTCTTACAAACCCTGCATATCCAATATTTTGTATTCCTGTGACTGAAATCACAGAAGTTGTTTTCCTTTATTTTGAATGGTTTTACCTCAATTTTTGTTTTAATTAATTTCAAATGTTTAAATCAAAAAAAGTTTTGAAATGATATTATCAAACTTAAATTACTGAATTCCAGATTATTTACAATAAGCATAAATGTTGCTGATATGACTCATGTGAAATATACTCAACAGCTGTTGTAATACTTACTAAAAAATGATGCATATAGCTATCACCACTGGCATCAGTATGCAGACTTTCATCATCAGTGCTGTTCAACATCCCTGAGGAGTGATACTTTTCCAGGGTTGCTACGGTAACCGCTTCCTCAGTTGGCGAGTAAGAGCTAGACGAAATACTGCTCATACTTCTCTGCGATATCAGTGCTGGTTCAGGACTACTCATACTTAAATCTAATGTACGCTTGGTGGCGCTTTCTAATGTTTCAAATGCATCTAATGCTGCAGCCGAAGTCTTTCTTTTCATTTTGATTTTCCGCTTCTTTTTTGGTTTTGCTAATCCATCCTCTTCCTCGTCTTCTTCTGACTTGATTTTTTTCTTTCGAGCAGAAGCAGCTTTTTTTCGGTTCTCCTCCTGCTTCTTTCGTTCAAGTTGCTTGGCTTGCAATGCTGCTCGGCGCCCCTTGACGTTAGAGTACATATCACCGCCTAATTGTATACGACCCATTTCTAGATCTCGCCAAAATGTATCCTTTAGAGTGTCTTCATCAATCATATTATTGTCTCCAGTGGTTTCAACTTCCTTGTCTGTTTTGTCTGTTTCTTCTATGCCTGGTTCTTTCTTTATGCAGTCTGGCTCTTTAGAATCTGTCTCTGATGATGTCCCCTTTGCCAGTTCATCTCGCCGCTGCAAAAAAATATTCATAA